AACGACCTTGTACTGTGAATTGCAATTTAAGGATGATTTCATGCAAATTTGTCGGAGTAGCTAATCTCCAATGAATGTTAAAATAGATCTAGGCTCCGGAAAAATACTGAAATTATTCAATTTCCACAGCAATTCTACTATTTGAAACTGGAAAACTATTTCAAGACTCAAACCCCGTTAAAAAGGAACCAATGTATAAATGGGAATGTTAAACTGACAAAATGAAGCAGCATTCTATCAGTCCGCATCGTGCTCTCCTGCCGTGCGGATCTATTTGCTTTTTGCTGAAAGAAGTGCTACTGCTACCTAAAGCTGCAACAAATTTAAAAAGCACTTTTCGGTGCAAAATATTACCTGCAAATTTTCTACCTTGTTCGATTCTTATTCCTCTTCGATCCTTGTTTGGACCCTACCCGAGGTAATCCTGCTTGGATACCGATTTGGAAAATTCCTTTTCGATCCTTAGGATTCTTATCTTAGTAATCTGCTTGGAACTCGATTTAGATAAACTTTCATGGCACCTAAACGGAAAAGAAAAGGGCTTCTGATGAAATTTGTTTGAGCAATCAATTTGATATGCTCACGGATGATGAGAATGAGAAAAATCCATTAAACATTCCCGGCTTAATGCCAAGAAGGAAAAGGTCCCCCCTATTGTGATAACCACTTCCGATTTCCATGCTTTTCGCACTGAACTTTTGAACTTCGTGAAATTCAAGTTTCCTCTTCAAATTGGCCGTCGGGGTGGGTGAATGCCGTGTATTGGTTGAAATCTTGGACGGATTCAAACGTCTGCTTAAGTATCTTACTATATTGAGAATTTTTTTTTAAATCTTGAACTTGATACGAAGTTAGGATTTTTTTTTTAATTTCGTGATCTGTAATAATATAAATCTTAAAAAAAAATTTAATTTCCAAGATTCTGAAGCTTTAACATGTTTCTTGAGCCTTGTGCCTTATGCAAATATAACCTAGATTTAGAATAAAAAACAGAATTGGATTTTTTTCAACAATATGAAACTGAGATAAATAGTCAAAATGTAGGATTTTGAATTTTTTTCCCAGATCGCTGATTTGGAATTTTTTTTTCAAGATTCCAGATTTGGAAAAAAAAATACAGTCGCTGGAAAATTGTGTGTTCTTGGAAAAATGTTCAAGGTTCTAATAAGGTGTTTCTAAAGAATTTTGAAAATTCAAAATTCTGTGAAGAGCTTCAAGAAAAATTCTGGCTCTGACAAGAATCCTGAATTAATTCTAGGATTAAGTCCTGACGAACTCTTAGAAGAATTACAAGGGAGTTGTGGGGAGAACTTCAAGGAGAATTCCTCGGTGATTCTGAAGAGAATTGTATGCGGATTGTGAGGAGAATAGCAGGCGAAGGACAATTTCTTTTTAACATAAACAGAATTTAAATGGTTTTCTGATAATAATTTCAAAGGAATACTGAGAAAGATTCACAAGACAACATTAAACAAGATCCGAGAAAAATGCAGAAGGAATCGTGTTCTGATGTAAATAAAGAAAAATGCTGAAAAATTTATATTAAATTCTTAAGAAAATTGCACGAAAATTCAGCACGGAATTCCAAGATATTCAAAGGAGAATTCCAAAGGATTTCTAAGGACAGTTTTGTGAAAGGTCACATTATTTCAAAGGTTTAAGATAATTAAGCACTGAATAAACCATTTTTGAGCTAAAGAAACATATGTTTGCTTGATTAAGCTAAAGCTGTTATTCAACTTTTAATTTTTGTTGGAATATCTTAAGATTTCAAGGGGTAATATACTCTGCACACCTCAATCTGTGCCGAATGTTTTAGCTGTGCCGAATGTTTTAGCTGTGCCGAAAGCTGTTCCAAACGCTGTGCCAAAGCGTAACAATCAAATATCCCATGAGTTTGGCAACCCTGAAGATTTAGTGACTTTTGTGATTTTGCAAGAAAACGAAGCGTGATGAATTGATGATGAAAAGACGAGTGGTTCTAGGTCCATGGCGTTTATACAGAAACGGTACGACAGCGACAACAACTGCGAGGTAACGGTGAAACTGTTCAATGCAAGCGGAGGATAGCTACCTCAAGATTAGAGGGGATTTTGAAAAAAAAAACTACAAGGGACAGCCCTATGGGGTTGTACGCAATGGTGACGTAGGACTACGTGGTTTTATATAATAAATCACAGGAGGAGCAACACAATAGTTGGGTAAAGAAGAATTGCATTATAACGCACACCTTTTATAACACACCATCGACTGGAAATGCTCTCGCAACGTGGGGCTTTAGGTAGTGATGAAACGTCGCTAGAACTATTCCACAGCCGCAGTCAGTTATGAGCAAAAGGAGGACGCACATCTTTTGCCTGTAGACTTGAAGACATACTTCAAGTCTCCGCGTACATCGTACGGGTTAGGCAAAAGATGTGCGTTCGAATTTATACTGTCGCATTAATGGCCCTTCGCTCATTTTCAACTTCTATTCAATTTTCATACTGTTGTACTCTAACGGAACTATCCACCTTCCCTCTTCTAAAGATCATTCTCTAGCTAATAAATGATCACACTAAAGCTTCATGTTAGCACTTCCAACCAACTCTGAAAATCGCTAACCTTCGCGTATGAAGTAACATAAAAACACTTTGAATGAAATCTTATTTGTTAACTGCAGCAGGAGCTTGTGTTTTGTGTAGGAATAGGAATTTGAGCTGGGTTCTCTCTGTTTATACTCTTTAGTATGACATAGATGGCCCACAACGACTCACGAAAAGCTACTGATTCCGATCAATAGTGGTGCGGCTTCTTCCTCCTTCTATGCATGCTCATGTGAGTTGCAGTTTACTGCTTGCAGGCAGTCTTTCGTTGTGACTGGAGAACACCACCATTCACCATGCGGTGATTGAATAAACACCGTTTGGTGAGACCGGATGGAGTTCAACTTTGAAATCTGTGCTAGGGAAATCGCTTTTCGCAGGCAATCGGTGATAATTTTTATTTTCATAGCAACAGTTACACATTCGTGCCATTTTCAATAGTGAAATTTTGAAAAAAATGATAAAGTCTTAATTTTAACAGAATCGTTGAAAATTCCTATCGATTGGCGTATTAAGAATTAAAATACATCATCTCTGGATCAAAATAAGACCACTTTCATGCCACGACCGACTTAGGTTTTTGAAATTGCACCCCCAATGTTGGCTTAAGGTACATGGTATGTTAGATTTAAACATATCTAGATAGAGCTGGACTTAGGCGTAACAGCCTGAGTAAACAATGACATCTCTGGACGATTTTTAAGAATTCAAGGCACGCCCACGCAAACCAACATTACCGTCGGGTAGGGGAAGTCTTACCCTACCTGATGGTGATGTTGATTTGCATGAGCGAGCTTTGTATTTCCAGACATCATCGAAAGAAGTCATTGTTTACAAAAGCTGTTACGCCCTAATTCCAGCTCTATCTTGATATGGGAACTGACATCCGATTGATTACCTTGACAAATGTCCCAAAAAATACTCTTACAAATTTATATAAAATTAAGGACCGTTTTGTCGTGATGGTTGAGTAAAGCTGAGCTATTAGGGTGTTAAACACATATGAGGCTGGTGACCTGTATGTTGTTTGGAATGAGGGTGACGCGCTTAGCATAGATGTGGGCTGCAGCTCACTGCTTGTAGGCAGCCTTTCGTTGTGTGCTGAAGAACAATGTTCTACGCCACGCGCCGAAAGCACTGCCGCAGCAGATGCCGACGACCGGACACCACCACACACGGTGATTGGACTGAATCAGATCAGCGGTTGAGAGCAGCCTTGCTAGCCACCACTCACCACGCGGCGATTAAATAAACACCGTTGAGTGAGACCGGATGGAATTCAACTTTGAAATCTGTGTTAGGGAAATCGCTTTTCGCAGGCAATCGGTGATAATTTTAATTACAATGTAACAATTGCACTTTCGGGATATTTTCAATAATGACATTTTGAAGAAAAAAAAACGAACTTGATCCAGGGGCAGCTGAGCTATTAACGTTCAAAATCTTTCATGATTTTGTTACATGTTCCATTTTTTGGTTTTAACAACGTGTACCCCCATATAGAAGTCACAGACGTAGTCCTACGTCAAACAAAGTTGATTGATTTGCTCGAGATGAACAACGACGAGGTTCCGAATGCTGCTCTGTTGTATGCCAAGAGGAAGGTTTGAAGGGTTTAATGATCGGGTTTAGGTTGTAAAAATATATATTGTTAGGTGTGTGAAACATACCTTAGTTTTTTTTAAAGAAAAGATTGGTGGTTCCGTAGATCCGGGGAGGTAAGGTCCTGATTTTTATTATAATAACGTTTGCATTTAAAAAAATTGTCGATTTTCATGGGTTTACCTTCACCGTACTGACGAAACTACCCATGCAGCATCAATCATAGTAAACCATGAGTCAGCAGACGAGGAAATCTTTCGGGTTGGAAATTTTCTCGACTTCCCTGGGCATAGAGTATCATTGTGCTTGCCACACAATATACAAATTCATGCATTGGTATTGGCATCGAAAGCTCTCAATTAATAACTGTGGAAGTGCATTTAGAACACTAAGTTGAGAGCACGCAATAAGCTAATATGCGCTAAGCAGAAGCTTGAAATGCGAATAAGAAGTAGAAGATGAGTCAGCAGACAAAATTTGACAGCTCTATCAGTCGAACTCTAACCGTGATGGCAAAAACATTGAAGCAACTCCGTTCAGAAGTGTATGCGTTCAAAGAACGGCACCCCGCCGCGTCGAAAACGGACATCGTGCGGCACTTTGTGGACGCCGGATACGCTCGTTCCGGCATCTACAACATCTTGGCATTATTAGACAACAATCAGAGCATCGAAAGAAAGCCCGGTTCCGGACTGTCAACAAATCTGAGCGACAAGAAGCTTTAAAGGATGTTGAAGAGGAAGACCGAGGGAAAAGTGGCTACATCGCTGCGTGCGCTTGGCCGGGAAGTCGGTGAAAAAGTATCTGGCGAACATGAACATACATGTCAGGAAGCGGAAGTCACGTCCACTGCTTTCGGAGCTGCAGGCAATGACGCAGCGGCAGCGGCTGAATAAGATGGTCAACTCGTTTTTCCCGGCGAATCACGACGTGGCGGTGGTGATGGACGACGAGACCTATCTCACCCTGGATGGCAACGACTGGCAGGGCACTTCGTATTTTACTTCCTCCACGAAGGAAGTGAGCTCCGTGGTGAAATTAATTTCACACACCCAGTTCCCCAAGAAGGTGCTGCTGTGGCTGACTATCAGCGAGAAGGGGATGCCAAAGCCGTTCTTCTTTCGCTCCGGGCTGGCCGTAAACGGGGAAATTTATAGTACGAAATACCTGCCGGAAGTTGCGTCGTTCATCAAGAAATACCATAAGGGCGAAGACGCGGTGTTCTGGCCGGATCTGGTGTCGACCCACTACTCGAAGCGATCGTTGGAGGAGATGGAGCGGATGAATATCGATGTGGTACCTAAGTCAGCGAACCCGGCCAACGTCCCCCAGCTACGTCCCATCGAGAATTTCTGGGCCAACCTGAAGCGTAAGATCTACTCCAACAATTTTGTCGCGAAGACTGAGGAGGAATTGATAAATAAAACGAAGAAAGAACTCAAAAACATGCCTACACGTTTTCGTTCGCCATGGCGAATGTTCCGGTTAACTGCCGGGAGGCCGCTCGCAAGGACGTAGAATTTTTTTTGCAAGTAAGCTTAAATAATTACCTTCCTTGGGAAATTTATCAAAAGAAATTATCTTAGCTTTTTTTATCACCATCCGAAAAAAGTCCATTTTTTTTAATGCAAACCTTATGTATCTGGCCACCCTGTGGAATTGACCCATTGTGAACCGTGATTACCGATATTGTCGCTAGTGGAAGCCAAATGTTGGTTGCAAAAGTGGATGACCCTGAGCGTGATTTAGTTATTTCTGTTGCTGGCGCTGGTATTTATCACAACACTTTAACAAAGCAGGGAATTGGACGAAGTTCTGGCTGCACGAGACATTCGAGCAAAGTATATGTTTGTCTTCTATTTCGGAAACTGATCGTCTAGTCCGATGGATTTGTTAATTTTATCCTGAAGCGTAGATCAACGTAGAAAACGTCAGCAAAAACAGTGATGCCGTTTTGTATTATATTCTTTGTCATACTTGTCAAAGTGTGCCCTAACGAGCCGATCGGTGTGCTGTTATGTGTTTCGGCACACAGTATGCAGAGTTGATTACCCCTTGTAAGGTTTATTGATTTCTCACGGTTCTCCCATCAAATTCCCGGCATTTTCCCGGCTTCTTTCAAATTCCCGGTTTGCTGGCCTGCTATTAAGTACATAAGATAACATAAACATTACACTTTCTAGGTAAGTAATTCATGCATTGTTTATACACACTTATCGAACTTTTCAGTCTCGGAGCACTTAATTTTACATGACATGTTTGTTTACGTCTCATCCTTCATACCAAAGATGTGTGTACTATTATTGTATAATCAAATAGTAGAGTCACTGAATTGTGAGTAAACATGCGAAACAGATCATTAGAGCTAATAAGTTTAAACTAATTTATATTTTAGCTTTAAAGCATTTTCCAATAAACGGATTGCTAAATGAACCGTGAATGCAACACTGCGCGTAGTGTTGTGCCAACAGTATCACTTTCCTGCATGATTGGTAATATCATTAGAGTTTTTAATGCAGTTATGAATAAGGATTGAGAAATATTTCCCTAAATTTAAGAAAAATTCCCTGAGTTTCCAGGTCGAAAATTGAATTCCCTGATTTTCCTGGTTCATGGTAGTCGACACCCTGACAAGACACTGGGAGCGAGCGGAGGTGGAGAAGAGAAAATAAAAAGAACAAACAGACTAACGCGACGCTACAGGCAACACTGCTAATAGAATCAAATTATTTCCCCAGAATTCACAACTATTTACAATCGATATTCGTTATATGCAAATTAAAAAGTAGCGAATCTTCTTTTCCACACACACACACCCCACACACCAGCGAAAACGAATATAATTTCAGCTCGGTATAAGCCGAAAGAGCACGCGGAAAACACACGAAATCTGTGACAGCGAAAACGTCGAAAACAAAACCAATCGTTCGCGGGCAGAGCCTACTGTATTGCCAAAATCATCGATCAAATGGCGTCGTGATCTTTCAATGTAGCGTCGGATAAAAGGATCCACGTACTTGTCTCCAGGTTCAATGCCAATAAGCAATCAATCAATTTTCGCAACCCAATAGCTCTAAAGCGATATCCATTTCCTCCGAGCAATAATCTCCGGCTGCCAATTTCTACCGGCGTAAAGGGACTCTTGGTTGCTGGCAAAAAAAAAAAAGAAACGTGGCAATAAGCTATATATATCTATGCTACCACATCCCCTCGACAGGCCCAATCCGCGAGAATATCCAACGAACATATAATCTGTGTTTACGTTTCAAATTTTGTAAACCTTGAGCGGGAATTAAAGCGGAGCACTTAGCACCTTCTCCAGTCTGTCGGTTTTTGTTGCTGTTGGTGCTTTACCTCCTACTGTATTTGCATATTATTTGTCGTTGTCCAGGTCGTAACAGGCAAGCTCCAGTGAAAAAAGTTCGCGTGATTCAAAATTGTGTTGTGTGCGGGTTAATTTTAGTTGGGATGTAAAAATAGATATCCCACATCGCGCACCATGCATTCGCTCGCTTATGGAACAGGTAAACTTTCAATTAGCGTAGATTATTTCGGAAATACATGAAAGAGATTTATTTTCGGATTTAGTCGTGATGCTGATAATGATGATGATGATTGAGCGAGCGATGATATCATGTGGCTCTAAAGCATGCCATCAGATCACTCGAACGGGAAATGGTAGTTTGCAGCAAAAATGTGTTATTAATTGACTTTCTGAAAGCTCACAAAAATCTACCGAAGAATAAAGATGTTGCGGTCGTCAATCCACTTGTTTGACGATCAGAGTGGTTTTTCCGATATATTGATGGACAGTGGTGGCACGAGTACTGGGTTTTAACATTTTTTTCCTTAACATTTGATTCTTTTCGCAATGACCATATAGTGAAGACGAACAAAACAAACTGGCAAGAGGAAAAATGTCGTGACATTTCTGAACTTTGTTGTGCCAGAGACAGAACATGTGCGCACAAAGAAGCAGACAATTTATGTCATGTAGAATGTTGCTGATTTCTGACTAATTACTTCATTTATTTGATGTTTATTCAATGAATGTTTATTGAATTAATTATGTGTAAATAAGGGAGTTGATAATTCACTGTCACACGCTAACAGCTATCAGCTAAAATTTAATTAATATAAACTGTCTGGAAAAGAATGGGCTGCGACATTTTTCCTATTCTCTATCTCCACCGTTTGCTTGAAATGTAGATATACACGACCGCCCGTGTGCTGGCTGCTTTGTTTCGCTCTGGACGATGACCTTTCAAAAAATGTACATTTGCCACCGCTGTTGATGAACCTTGTCTTCCTGGCTTTGACGCTCTTGTTTTACACGAACTTACGCCTACTCTCAAGAGTTCTTTGCATCAATTTCAACAGTTATCAATTGGGAGCTTTTTATGCCAACCAATGCATCAATTCCTACGCTGTGTGGCAAGCACAATGATACTCCGGATAGGAAATCGAACCCATGGCTATGGCTATAGGCTATCTGAGGCAATCAACAATGATAGACTCTTTTTTCGTGTTACGCGAGAATCCCTCTTCCTTCACAGGTGGATAAATATAGGTTTTTGTAATGCCAAATATGCTATCTTCGGTAAAGTAATTTACCGAAGCTACGAGGGTAAACCAGTGCTTTAAGCGGTCACCATAGTCGACGCATTTTCTGTGATAATCGGCTGCCTTTGCTTTCGACACTTGCAAAACAAGCTATCAAATTACAGTACCAAACAACCCAAGTAACATTTAACGTTTTATGAAGTACTACAAGGCTTCTATAAAACAACATTCATAAAACCCTGGTCAAGATGGCTCGGCCTTTATTACATCCACCAAAACCTCACTAAGAATAGAGTCTAGTTGGCCCACCCTGAAGAAGGTTCTAAAGAGTGTATTATCGAGACATTTAAAGAATGACTTGCTGTAAAAAGGTTATAACGAATGCTCCTAGCCGAGACTATGATGATTTTCGTAATCGTTATTACTGCTCATTGATGAATTGATGAGAATAAAGTTATTTTCCTTGTTAAGTCCTTGGAAACTTTTTGAAAATACTAAAAGGAGGATTACAATTAAATTTGAGAATAACTCCAGAACATCTTCAAAGGAATTCGGAACATAAATTCAGGAGGTTTTGCCAAACAAATTATGAGAAGAAATCTAAGGAATTTGAGAGGAGAAATGCCACTGAATTCCTAGGAGACTTTCAATGTGAGTAGAATTCCAAGGGAAAGAGTGAGATTCAAAAAGGGACTCTGAAATGAATTCAATGAATATTCGGAGAATTTTTCCAAAGGCTTTCTTATTGTGGAGAATTTTAAGGTAATTTCGAGGAAAACTAAAAAAAAATTGAACTAGCAGGATAGCTTTATTGAAATGTTGAGGAATATTTCAATGAAAATCAGAACTACTTGAAAGTTCCCAAATTTCTCCCGAAGTTAATGAAACTGCCTTGAAATTCTTTTGTAGTTTGAGAAACTAGCCGGATGCTCACAATACTTCTCATCAAATTCTTAAACTTCTCTGAACTTTATAGGACTTCCTAAAGTTGCCTTGAAGTTTCGACAATTTTCCTTAAGTATTATAACCATTATAAACGCTCACTTATTTTCCCTGAACTTATCTATGGTTACCTGAACTTCTCTAAATTTGTTTAATAATCCGGCAAATTTTCTGATATATATTCATAATTCCCTGACGCTTCTGACGTTTTCGGATCAATCATAGAATTCATGGAATACCCCATAATTCCACGGAACTCCTTGTAAGTCTCTGCAACATTGCTTAAATTCATGGGATTATTCTGAAGCTATCTGATCGTCCTTGAAATACTCGGAACTTCGCTGAATATCATGAAACTATCTAAAAGTATCTAAATTTATAATAAGTTCTCTGGAATTACTTGAAGATATCACTGATTGCTATAAGTTCTCGCTTTTTTTATTAATGGAACTTCTTTGATTTTCTCTAATCAATTCAGCTAAATTTTCGCATTTTTTATGTTCTTGAAATCTCCATAGTATAACACGCTTAAAATAGTCTTACGTTTTCCGGATGGTCATATAATTTTTATCACGTTCCAGAAATTCTCTTGGAGCTTTGTTTCCGGAAATTTCCTGAGTTTCTCGCAACATCGTTAAGGTTTCTACAATTTCCTTGAAATTATTTGAACTGCCCTTTGATTCTCTAATCTGTCTTGATGTTCTCGAAACTTCCCTAAAGCTCTCAATTCTATTGAAGATCTCGGTTCTGCTCGGAAATAAACGGAATTCCCGTAAACACCTTTAAATTTCCCTAAAATTCTCGGAACATCTTAAAGGTTCTCGATTTTTTTCAGCACATCATGGAACTATCCTGATTTTTCTAAATTTACGATTATAGATCTTTAAACTGCTCAAAAAGTCTGGACTAAAGCTACGGAAACTGTTTCTCAAGTTCGCTTGACACATGTGAAGTTCTCTGACATTCTAGGAAGTTCATAAAGTTCCCGAAAATTTTCGGAAGCCAAAAGAACC